GAGACTTGTCCTGAAGCCACTCCTGCGTTGTCTTGGCTGTGTGTTTAGTGTCGTTGTACTGTTTGAAGGTGAACCTTCGCCCCAGTCTGAGGTCCTGAGCGCTCTGGAGCAGGTTTTCATCAAGCATCTCCCTGTACTTTGCTCCGTTCATCTTTGCCCCGAACCTGACTAGTCTCCCAGTCCCTACCGCTGAAAAACATCCCCACAGCATGATGCTGCCACCACCATACTCACCGTAGGGATGGTAATAGCCAGGTGATCAGGGGAGCCTGGTTTCCTCCAGACGTGACGCTTGGCATTCAGGCCAAAGACTTCAATCTTTCATCAGACCAGAGAATCTTGTTTATCATGGTCTGAGAGTCCTTTAGGTGTCATTTGGCAAAGTCGAAGCGGGCTGACATTCCCCTTTTACTGAGGAGTGGCTTCCGTCTGGCCACTCTACCATAAAGGCCTGATTGGTGGAGTGCTGCAGAGATGGTTGTCCTTCTGGAAGGATGATCAATGCAAACAGGATGCACCTGAGCTCAAATTCGAATGTCAAAGGGACTGAATACTTATGTAAATAAGATATTTCTGTTTTTTATTTTTTAATTAATGTGCAACCTGTTTTCCCTTTGTCATTATGTGGTATTGTGTGTAGATTGATGAGGAAAACGTTTTATTTAATCAATTTTAGAATAAGGATGTAACGTAACAAACTGTGGAAAAAGTGAAGGGGTCTGAATACTTTCCGAATGCACTGTATATGATTAAATGCTGTAGAACTGTATCACTGTAGACTTTCATATAGGAATATGTGTATCTATTTCAAATGTAGAAGTATGAAGTGAAAGAAGTAGAATGTACAGTATATCGCTCCACTTTTCACTGCTTTGGTATGGCAACTCACACAGCCTCCAAAGAGTTCAAATAACAGACTTTGATCTCTCCTTCTCTGTCTCTCTTTTCTTTTTCCTATTTTCCCCAATGGACCTCTGTGTCATCAACCGCCACCCATCCACCTTGAAAAGGCGGAACAGAGATGCATGAAATGAGCTGCCAAATACTCGACTCTCCTTACGACTTGGAAAAAAAATTGTGAAAGCAAGACTTGAGCACGGTGGAAAGAAGGGATAAAGTTGAGAGGGAGAGAGGGGAAAAGCAGGCCAAGCCATCAGCTGTAATGAATAGCTTGCAACTCCAGTTCACAGCTGAAGTGCGTAATAATCTTACAGAAGTCAAATCTGGTCAGCCGTACATAGTTGGACGGCACCAAGCACGACTTAGGTCCCCAAATTACACCCTGGAGGGACTTTACCCTTTACAAGTAGGATGAAAAACTGCTCCAAAACAGCTGGCAAACAGCACCTGTGTTCCAAATAGGCAGCAGAGGGGCTGTGGGAGAGGCTGGGGGCTAGTCGAGGAGCCATGCAGGTATTAGGGTAGCTGGGGATTTGGGCTAGAGATCAGGAAAGGTGGGTTTTACCAAGCAGGCTGAGTAGCTTGGGGAGACAGGGACGGGGACGGAGGACAGGGGATTGGGGACGGGGGACAGGGGGGTTCTCAGAGACCATCATGGTAACGCTGGATTTCTTTATTCATTACCTCCGAGGCAGCAGTGTCATGGGAACTGGTCCCAGTCACATGTAGTAGAGAACTGCAGAGAGTTACTAAGCCAGCAGAGGGCAGCAATCCACCCAGCTTCTCCCAGGACTAAGGCCAGGTACAATACACTACATGGCCAAACGTATGTGGACACCTACTCGTCAAACATCTCATTCCAAAATCATGGGAATTAATATGGAGTTGGTCCCCCCTTTGCTGCTATAACAGCCTCCACTCTTCTGGGAAGGCTTTCCACTAGATGTTGGAACATTGTTGCGGGGACTTGCTTCCATTCAGAAACAAGAGCATTAGTGAGGTCGGGCACTGATGTTGGGCGATTAGGCCTGGCTCGCAGTCGACATTCCAATTCATCACAAAGGTGTTCGATGGGGTTGAGGTCAGGGCTCTGTGCAGGCCAGTCAAGTCCTTCCACACCGACCTCGACAAAACATTTCTGTATGGACCTCGCTTTGTGCATGGGGGTATTGTCATTCTGAAACAGGAAAGGGCCTTCCCCAAACTGTTGCCACACAGTTGGAAGCACAGAATCATCTAGAATTGTATGCTTTAGCATTAAGATTTTCCTTCACTGGAACTAAGGGGCCTACCCCGAACCATTAGAAACAGCCCTGAACCATTATTCCTCCTTCTCTATCAAACTTTACAGTTGGCACTATGCATTCGGGCAGGTAGCGCTCTCCTGGCATCTGCCAAACCCAGATTCGACCGTCAGAGTGCCAGATGGTGAAGCGTGATTCATCACTCCAGAGAACGCATTTCCACTGCTCTAGAGTCCAATGGTGGCGATCTTTACACCACTCCAGCCGACGCTTGGCAATGCGCATGGTAATCTTAGGCTTGTGTGCGGCTTCTCGGCCATGGAAACCCATTTCATGAATCTCCCGACGAACAGTTCTTGTGCTGACGTTGCTTCCAGAGGCAGTTTGGAACTCGTGAGTGTTGCAACTGTGGACAGACGATTTTTACACGCTTCAGCACTCAGAGGTCCCGTTCTGTGAGCTTGTGTGGCCTACTACTTCGTGGCGGAGCCGTTGTTGCTCCTAGATGTTTCCACTTCACAATAACAGCCCTTACAGTTGACCGCGGCAGCTCTAGCAGGGCAGAAATTTGAAGAACTGACTTGTTGGAAAGGTGGCATCCTATGACGGTGCCACGTTGAAAGTCATTGAGCTCTTCAGTATGGGCCATTCTACTGACAATGTTTGTCTATGGAGATTGAATTGCTGTGTGCTCGATTTTATACACAGCAACAGGTGTGGCTGAAATAGCCAAATCCACTAATTTGAAGGGGTGTCCACATACTTTTGGCTGTGTAGTGTATGTCCACATGGGCAACAACATCTACAGTTAATTAGACCAACAGAGAGAAGGGGAAAACAAATTTGATACATAGTAAACCTGTGTTGTACTGATTTATACATTTAATGACTCTGCTTATTTGAATACCAGTATCTTCAAATTGAATACATACACATTGAGGTTTATCTCTTATAGGACTGAATAAGTTGGCCTACAAGTTGTTATTATTGTCACTAATATCATACAGTTCGGGAAAGAAAGAGTTTTGTTGGAGAATGATAACTATGCTTAGGTAAACATATGAATCATGCATGACATGGATAGCCTTTGTTGGAAGAAACTTGACGTATACTTCCCTCTCTGACTTCTCCTTGCTTCAGCCCATTAGATAGTTTCAATGTTTCTAAATGTTCAATCAACGACATGAAGCTGGTAGCTCCAATCTAAGCTCTGCTGAACTCCAGAGAGAGTTATCTGTGTGCTTTAAGAACCTAGATGAGTGTGGCAACGTTACATTTGTCAAAACCCTAATTGGCGACAAGCAGAAATAGACTATTTGTACTTCTTCTGATCATTTTCGTAAGACAACTACTGCAAGTAAAAAGGGTGACATGGTTCATTAAAGAGCTGCATGTCATAAATCGAATTCTCTATCCACAGTATTCTGATTGTATTTACTGTTGTGTTATTCATATTATGTTTGTAGAGATCAAAGTAAGATACATCAAATATTAATGTCAAAGGAATAAAGTCACTCAAACACTGAACTGTCTAATTAGCCAGTAATTAATGTTCTGTTAGATGATTAGGTTGCCCAGCAACAGGGTTTGGTGGATTTGAATGGAGGCATGATAGTATCTCTGAATAACACAGTAATATGACAATCTCTATCCATCAGCTAATGCTGTTTCCATGGAACAGACAAAGAGAATCACATGATAAGAGCAGCAGGATAAGCTCTAAGCATGCCACACATCAGCTCTAACAAAGGCACCAGTAGCAATCAGATCATATTGAACACTCATCTCACTATGCTCATGTGTCATTCTGGTGTCTGTGTCAGACAAAAAAAACAACTAGGTTGAAGTGTAAACAAATAGGTAGAGGCTCTGAGCACAGCATGGTGTGTCACCTTCAAACGTCTGGTGCTGGTAGGAGAACAGAGTATGCACAACACAGAACGCCACACACCTGGACTGGTCAAAGCATCTTCCACTCTCCATCCACAGTGGTCTCCCGTTGAGATGATACATTGTTAGTGTCCTAGACACACAGATCAATGTTCCCCTTTTTTTCTTTCTTCATCAGAAGAAACATCAGACAATGGGAATTATGTTACTGTAGCAAAGGGTATGGTTACACTGATTCAATGTCATCATGTTGAAGTATTCATATGAAAACAGGGTTCTCTAACGGACAATTAGTCGAAGGAAATCTAATTATGGGTAAGGACGATAAAAAAACATAAGTGTATGAGTAATACAAAAGGAACATGTTGGCCATTGTTCTTGTTGTTAGCTTCTAAAGGTAAGTAAGATATATTTTCAGAGTCTATCTTTAGCCAAATGTTCTGAGAACAGAAACATCATCAGGTTTGAGTCAATGTGAACTTCATGCCACCTTGCGACATTCTGTGTTTGTGTGTGTGTGTGGCCGTGCATGTGAGAAACAACGAGAGAGAGAGAGAGAGAGAGAGAGAGAGAGAGAGAGAGAGAGAGAGAGAGAGAGAGAGAGAGAGAGAGAGAGAGAGAGAGAGAGAGAGAGAGAGAGAGAGAGAGAGAGAGTTACCAGAGACCAGACCAGAGAGAGAGCCCAGAGAGTGAAAGTAACAGCTATGTCAGATGTGTTAAGGTAATTCACTCAGTCATTCGTATGTAAATTCCTACCTGTCCTGGTAGCCAATTGGGGAGGGATAAGGATAGGACAAGGAAGCTGACAGCATAAAATACCCACGCTGGGGCAGCACCTTGGTGTGTGTGTGGGCAGGAACTTTATTCGAGTTTTGGGAGGCAAAAGAGCACAGCTTCCAGCACTGAAAACAACACTCCACTCATCTGTGTAGAGAAGCACAGCAAGCTACCTCACCCACCTGAAGTCATCTGAGAGGAGAGAGAGAGAGAGAGAGAGAGAGAGAGAGAGAGAGAGAGAGACAACACCTTCCCATCCTGGTTGGAACCCAGTCCATAGCTCTGGTAGGAAACCATGCTGAGCATTGCTAGGCAACCAGCTTTGCTTCTATGTTGTTAGTCGCTGTTATACTGACTGAATAGTGCAATCAAACCAATGGCTGAAATGGCTGGGCTTAGGAGTGAATTGGTGTTTTGGCTGTGCAGACACTGGGTATTCGTACTGTAACAAAGCAATGTAGGCACTTCTTTAGGTGTCTTTCAGACTAGAATGTGATGGTTTGGTAAATTTTTCTAACTGTGTGTCAAGCTTTGATTGCCTGTAATGCTCTTCGAGCATTAGAAAAAACTGTTACAGTGCCATTCATACAGTGTTAAAGAAGATGACTGAATATACATTAGGCTTTAAATAATTGTGTGTCTTGCATTTGAAGTCCTAAAATAAATGGCATATGCTTTGGTTTACAAGATAAATGTGATCATGGACAAATGTACTCCTCATGGGCTCTGTTTTGTTCTGAGATACAAACTGCGCTTTTGAAAGAGAAGTAAAACAAAATGTTGGTAAGCTCCTTTTATATCACATTAATATGCGACAAGGTACAGTATATCTACACACTAGTGTACCATAATCACCTCACATGGGTTGTAACTTAAATCAGTTTAGATAAAACTCCACAGAGGGATTCTCCAGAGCTTCAGTACCAGGAAAGTGTGACCTGCCTGCACTCGTTTACTGCTTACCAAAAGTTACATCGATCAGTGATAATTTGTTTGTCCGTTTACTTCCTTAATCTGTAAGCCTATCATCATCATCATATTTTTGGGTGATAAGATGCCGAGGTAGTGAATATTGATCAGGGGCAAGTTTCCCAAAAGCTTTGTCTAGCTAACATGTAACTTTATTACTCACTCCTGAATAGTTCACACCTTGTATCATGAATAAATTAACCTTGAACAGACCAGGAGATGATAGTAAATAGAAACTGCTACCTGATGATAGGGACAAGCCAAACTAAACGGTCAGGACATACAATACCTGCAGTCTACTTCCATGAAGACAGACAGTCTTCAGACTGCACAGACCAGATGGTAGGCAGACAAACAGTAGACAGCACTGAGGGTTAACACAAAGCACGCAGGTTGTGAGACTTGGCATCCTGAGCTGAACCAAAGCCATGGCCTAAACTGCCAAGTGCCACATACCTTCAGTGAAATCTCACTCAGGGATCTTGTTCTTGGGAAACTGCTTTTGTTTAGCATTGAGGAAGGCTTGGTATAATTTATGTTTCTCATTCAGCCTGTCACTGTGCCCATATAGGTAATGTACTGTAAAACATGGTGTTGTACAGTAATTTGGTGTCATTGTTTTTATTAGCCATCATAATCCAGCCTTTTCCAGGTAGTGGTCAATAAAGAGAGGGTGAATATAGGTCAGAGTATAAAGAGCTGAGTCTATTATTTGTCCAACTGAAACTGCAGGTGAGCACTATGACAACCTTTCACAGACAGACCATATTAGTATATAATACGCTCTTACAATATGATAAAGCAGATTACATTGTCACATTAAATATTCACTCCAAAATCAAGATGTTTTCAGATTTCAAATGTGGGCTGATTTCAGATGAGCTGTCCCTGGAATTACCCATCACTGAACTACAGTGAGGGAAAAACGTATTTGATCCCCTGCTGATTTTGTACATTTGCCCACTGACAAAGAAATGATCAGTCTATAATTTCAATTGATTTGTATTTTAATGAGGGAAATAAGAATTTGACCCCTCTGCAAAACATGACTTAGTACTTGGTGGCAAAACCCTTGTTGGCAATCACAGAGGTCAGACTGTCACGATCGCCAATAAAGTAGGACCAAAGCGCAGCGTTGGGAGTGAACATGATGACTTTAATGTGAAATAACGACAAAACAAAACACGATCCGTAACGTCCTCAGTACACCGACTGAACATAGAACAAAAACCCACAACTAACACAAGAAAACCTACATCTTAAATATGGCTCCCAATCAGAGATAACGAGCCGACAGCTGACACTCGTTACCTCCGATTGGGAGTCATTGAATACAAACAAGGAAACACAACCACAACCTAGAAATAGACACAACAGAACTCCCCACCTAGAAATAAACGTGACAGACATGCAACCATAAAACATCACCCAAAACCCAACAAAACAACATACACCCTGGCTCAAATACACAAGTCCTGGAGCCAGAGTGTGACAGTACCCCCCCCTAAAGGTGCGAACTCCGGGCGCACCAGCATACAGTCTAGGGGAGGGTCTGGGTGGGCGTCTGTCCACGGTGGCGGTTCTGCCCCTGGTCGTGGTCCCCATCCCACCTTAGTCACCACCCGCTTCCCTAGCCTCCTCCACATTACCACCCCCCAACTACACCCCACTGGGTTAAGGGGCGGCACCGGACTAAGGGGCAGCACCGGACTACGGGGAAGTACCGGACTAAGGGGCAGTACCGGACTAAGGGGCAGTACCAGGCTGAATGGCGGATACTGGCTGGACGGCTCTGGTGGCTCCTGGCTGGTCGGCTCTGGCGGATCCTGGCTGGACGGCTCTGGCGGATCCCGGCTGGACGGCTCTGGCGGATCCCGGCTGGACGGCTCTGGCGGATCCCGGCTGGACAGCTCTGGCGGATCCCGGCTGGCGGCTGGACGGCTCTGGCGGATCCCGGCTGGACGGCTCTGGCGGATCCCTGGCTCTGGCGGATCCTGGCTGGACGGCTCTGGCGGATCCTGGCTGGACGGCTCATGGCTGGCTGATGGATCTGGCTGCTCATGGCTGGCTGACGGATCTGGCTGCTCATGGCTGGCTGACGGATCTGGCTGCTCATGGCTGGCTGACGGATCTGGCTGCTCATGGCTGGCTGACGGATCTGGCTGCTCATGGCCGGCTGACGGATCTGGCTGCTCATGGCTGGACGGCTCTGGCGGATCCTTGCTGGCGGAAGGCTCTGGCTGATCCTGGCTGGCGGAAGGCTCTGGCTGATCCTGTCTGGCAGAAGGCTCTGGCTGATCCTGTCTGGCGGAAGGCTCTGGCTGATCCCGTCTGGCGGAAGGCTCTGGCTGATCCCGTCTGGCGGAAGGCTCTGGCTGATCCTGTCTGGCGGACGGCTCTGGCTGGACAGGGCTGACGACGCACCCCGTAGGCTCGGGGCGTTGAGCAGGGACAGGCAGAACCGCACTGGGGACACACACCCCTGGCCCTACACGGGGATCAGGAACGGGCCGGACCGGACTGGAAACACCCCCCAGTACCTCTCGCCGTGCCTCCACACTTTCCATCCCCTTCGTAACCAGTGGCCCCCTTAAACTGGCGGCCATATCTGCCAACCTCTTGCACTCCTCCGGGCCGTACACCTTCTGCCCCGACGTCGTGAGCCCCCCCCCTAAAAATTTTCTGGGGGTCTCTCCTCTCGGTGGACCAGGCCTCCATAGTCCTCTCCCAACCTTCACTCTTCTGGCTCCACCACCCGTTATCCAACTGCTGCTTGGTCTCGTTGTGGTGGGTTTTTCTGTCATGATCGCCAATAAAGTAGGACCAAAGCGCAGCGTTGGGAGTGAACATGATGACTTTAATGTGAAATAACGACAAAACAAAACACGATCCGTAACGTCCTCAGTACACCGACTGAACATAGAACAAAAACCCACAACTAACACAAGAAAACCTACATCTTAAATATGGCTCCCAATCAGAGATAACGAGCCGACAGCTGACACTCGTTACCTCCGATTGGGAGTCATTGAATACAAACAAGGAAACACAACCACAACCTAGAAATAGACACAACAGAACTCCCCACCTAGAAATAAACGTGACAGACATGCAACCATAAAACATCACCCAAAACCCAACAAAACAACATACACCCTGGCTCAAATACACAAGTCCTGGAGCCAGAGTGTGACACAGACGTTTCTTGTAGTTGGCCACCAGGTTTGCACACATCTCAGGAGGGATTTTGTCCCACTCCTCTTTGCAGATCTTCTCCAAGTCATTAAGGTTTCGAGGCTGACGTTTGGGAACTCGAACCTTCAGCTCCCTCCACAGATTATCTATGGGATTAAGGTCTGGATACTGGCTAGGCCACTCCAGGACCTTAATGTGCTTCTTCTTGAGCCACTCCTTTGTTGCCTTGGCCGTGTGTTTTGGGTCATTGTCATGCTGGAATACCCATCCACGACCCATTTTCAATGCCCTGGCTGAGGGAAGGAGGTTCTCACCCAAGATTTGACGTCCCTTTGATGCAGTGAAGATGTCCTGTCCCCTTAGCAGAAAAACACCCCCTTAGCATAATGTTTCCACCTCCATAATGTTTCCACCTCTTGTTTGACGGTGTTCTTGGGGTCATAGGCAGCATTCCTCCTCCTCCAAACACGGCGAGTTGAGTTGATGCCCAAGAGCTCCATTTTGGTCTCATCTGACCGCAACACTTTCACCCAGTTCTCCTCTGAATCATTCAGATGTTCATTGGCAAACTTCAGACGGGCATGTATATGTTCTTTCTTGAGCAGGGGGACCTTGCGGGTGCTGCAGGATTTCAGTTCTTCACGGCGTAGTGTGTTACCAATTGTTTTCTTGGTGACTATGGTCCCAGCTGCCTTGAGATCATTGACAAGATCCTCCCGTGTAGTTCTGGGCTGATTCCTCACCGTTCTCATGATCATTGTAACACCACGAGGTGAGATCTTGCATGGAGCCCCAGGCCGAGGGAGATTGACAGTTCTTTTGTGTTTCTTCCATTTGCGAATAATCGCACCAACTGTTGTCACCTTCTCACCAAGCTGCTTAGCGATGGTCTTGTAGCCCATTCCAGCCTTGTGTAGGTCTACAATCTTGTCCCTGACATCCTTGGAGAACTCTTTGGTCTTGGCCATGGTGGAGAGTTTGGAATCTGATTGATTGATTGCTTCTGTGGACAGGTGTCTTTTATACAGGTAACAAACTAAGATTAGGAGCACTCCCTTTAAGAGTATTCTCCTAATCTCAGCTCGTTACCTGTATAAAAGACACCTGGGAGCCAGAAATCTTTCTGATTGAGTGGGGGTCAAATACTTATTTCCCTCATTAAAATGCAAATCAATTTATAACATTTTTGACATGCGTTTTTCTGGATTTTGTTGTTGTTATTCTGTCTCTCACTGTTCAAATAAACCTACCATTAAAATTATAGACTGATCATTTCTTTGTCAGTGGGCAAACGTACAAAATCAGCAGGGGATCAAATACTTTTTTCCCTCACTGTATATTTGATCTTAAATTGTACATTTACTGTAGATGCTCCAAAAGGTTAAACTATAGATAGGCATTCTCCTCCACAAATTCCAGATAAATGGACTACAGTCTAGACAAACAGTAAAAAATGTGACAAGGCCATTACAAGTACAGTGCTGCAACCTTCAATATTCTTGTCATAGGCCTCAGTGCCGACCTGCAATTCTAATGTATATTTACATATTACATGCAAATATAGTTGTGGTGAATTGTTTTCTCAACAACAGTTAAATGAACGTAGCCATGTTGTTGGCACACTATTGACATTTCACGGGCAGTCCTTTATGGTAGGGCTACGGAGAAGATACAGTGCCCACCTGCTGTAGCACTACTGACGTCTTCCCATAGATATTAAAATAACTATTCATTGATGTTATTTATGTTATATTTACTTTTACAATGACACTTCATTTCCAATTCTTTAGAACTTTATTTGAACTTGTTTTTAAACTTTAATCGTGTCATTAAAGTCAAAGTTGATCTGACCATGGCATTGGGAAGTGTTTTATTTCTTCATTTATTTTTCCAGTATACAGAACTATAATGGCTATTGTCTACCCTATTGCATAAGCATATTGCACACTGGATGAATAATATGTATACTATTATTTAATTGGCATTAGCAACTATAATTACCTGAGTATCAGCACTGTTAATATGTGTTGATATCCTAAGGGGATGTAGTTCTGAAAATAAGGAACTGCACAGTAACCTAATCTATTTAAAACACAGACATGTAATTTAAAGGAAGAGCTTGTTTTATGTATCTGGGTTGTCAATCATACATGTCCTGCAGGCGTTTCTGCACTAAACTGTCGAGTTCTCCGGTATTAACACATCATTGTGTGCACCGTGTGTGATTACACTGTAGCCTACCAATCACCTTGTTTACGGTTTTACTCCATACTGAATGTATGTGTCTTTCTCCCCAAGCTCTGGACCATGGTCCGTCATACCACCTGTATCATGAGCATCCCTTCCACTGCCAGCATTGAGAGCCAGCTGCCCACAACATGGAGCTCCTACCCCTGCTCAGACAGTGAGGACTAGTTTAGTTGCTCAATGGCTTTTTCAGTGAATTGCTCTGCTGGTTTAATTATTTACAAATACCTGGGCTAGCCGGAGTTAATATTTTTTCACTACACCCCCAGCACACTCAAAGTGTGAAAAAAACACACTTAATCTCTACCTTTACCCCTGACCCCAGTTTCCACAGTGATGCCTGGTTACACCAGTCGCCTGTGGTCCCAGGACTCCCAGCCTCAGTATTGGTCGAAGTATCAGGTGTGGGAGTGGCTGCAGCAGATGCTGGATATGCACCAGATCGACGCTGCCAGCATCCCCTTCCAGAACTTTGACGTGGACGGACGTCAGCTGTGCAGCATGACCTATCAGGACTTCACCCGTGCTGCGGGCACCGTGGGGCCTATCCTCTACCACAGCCTCACCGAGCTCAAATGGAGCGGTGGGTTCACACACTGAGCTGTAACGTCCTCTGTTATTGTTAGTGTCTTATGTTTATCAGAATGGAGGCCAGGTCAGGCCATGCATTGTTGAAACATATTGTGATAGATTAGGTCATCAAATGTTGAATAGTAGTATTTCATTTCAACAACACTTGAGGCGGTTAGAATACCACAAAAAAACAGGAACAGCAAATTGAACCAGCGTAGGAGGATCAAGGATTTAGGAATTCAGTATCAAGTTTGATTAACACAAAATAAAGAAAGCCCATGTTGTTACTGTAAGTGTAATGGCATTACCCTTAAATGACCCCTTGTTTCTCCATGTCATCCCTACACAGGTCAGTATCCTGGTGTGGAGTTTTCACCACTGGACGTTATCAAATCAGAGCCAGATGGTAAGAGCCCTCAAAAGCACCATAGACAAACACTGGCATGAACGCAACGTCATGTACTTCAAGTCATCCCTAACAAGCTCATCGAGTTATTACATATCTATGCATGTCTCAACTTGTTTGACGCTAGTTAATTAATAAATGATGTAAGTTGAAACGAGTCTGTTATTTGACAAAACGCTTCAGCTGGGCGGCAGGTAGTCTAGCAGTTAAGAGTGTTGGGCCAGTAACCGAAAGGTTGCTGGTTCGAATCTCCAAGCCGACTGGGTGAAACATCTGCCGATGTGCCCTTGAGCAAGGCACTTAACCCTAGTTGCTCTGGATAAGAGTGTCTGTTAAATGACTAAAATGTTAAATGTATGTAATACCTCTTAAGCTTACATACAAGCTTAATGTGCTCTCCTGTTCTAGTAGATTTCCCTTGCCCATTCACAGAACCTAGCATCTATCCTGCAGGTAGGTACCACATTGGAATGGATATGATTTTGGAGAAAATTCAACATTTTAATTAACTTACGGACAGCATTATTTTTTACATGTTGACATTTCTTTACTTTTTAGATATTTACGATCCCTCGTTTCAATCCCTCGCACCTGTGACCTCGCCCACTCCCTCCAGTCCAGGTAAGAAACAAGACCAAAGATGAAAACCTATAAAACATTATGTAAACACACTAATTGGAATGAGCCCCGATCCCAGGGAAGACATCAACTTACAGTAGCCTCCAAAGAAAATATTACTTCATCGTGGTCCTTTGTAGCTCAATTGTTAGAGCATGGTGCTTGTAATGCCAGGGTAGTGGGTTTGATTCCTGGGACCACCCATACTTAAAATGTATGCACGCATGACTGTAAGTCGCTTTGGATAAAAGCGTCTGCTAAATGGCATATATTATTATATTACTAAGCAAACAGAGTGGCAATACAAGGCTATTGAGTAAAGTCCATGAACGTTCAGTGAGTGATCATTTTGGGAATGAGGCAGCTGAGTCTACTCCTTATCACTAAACAACATCACCACAACGTCTCTGAACAAACTCATCCTGTTTATGTTCCCATATGAATTGCTCCATAGAATTAATCTGAAATGTGTAAGACAGAGGTACAAAGGTTAGGCTAACACGTGTGGATTAGTGATTGGGGAAAAATCTATACAATTACATAAAGGAATATTATTTTGGGACGATATTATATCGATATTTGACTCGTAGTATGGATTCGTAAAAAATATATATATATCTACTGTAGGTAGCGATAGCTAGCGGGCTGTACCTCCATCGAAACTACAATATTTTTCATCCTATAGCTTGTTCTTGATCTTCTTTTTAAATAGTATCCAACATGTTTTCAGCGCTTTTATTTCCCAGACTGATCAAAACTCGTTTTTTCATGCTCTCTCTACAGCAGACATATAGCGAGCAATACGTTTCGAACATCAAATCGCATGCATTGAATCAGAACCTAAGTATTGTGATAATAACCCATCATGAGGTCCCTGGCAATTCCCAGCCCTAGTGTGGATATAAAATGCATTATACTTCACAGCTATGTTTAATTCAGTTGGTGGGTGCTTATATGTGTCCTATTTCAAGTGTGAATTGGAAGTGTGTTTTTTGCACATCCCAACTCCCCCTGAGAGGGGAATCACAGCCAGGATCTGCCATTGTCAACTGCTACTCTGGAGCATTTAGGGTTAAGTGCCTTGCTCATGGGCACATCAACAGATTATTTCACCTTGGGGATTCAAACTAGCAACCTTTTGGGTACTGGCCCAATGCTCTAACCACTAGGCTACCTGCTGCTGTAGGTTAGTTGGTTGGACTACTATGATGCTAGACCCACTTGTGGGTTCGATTGCCACATATACCAAATGTATTAAATATCTTTATTTTAAATTGTTTTAAGCATCTGCTAAATGACCATATCTGTTTATTAATTTACTTTCAGACACAAAGAGATCTCACAGTCGCCCTCATCAGGTCAAAAAACACAGTGAGTAGTATTTACATGAACATTTTCAATACTATCGTATCATATATTTTAATGTAAATACTCAATGGGGTGATGGCTACATGCTGAACATTTTTCCCATGCTATAACTGATGTGCAGTAGATGGTTCCAATGTCCACCACCTGTGTATTTTTCCACAGACCCCCGGGGGACACACCTGTGGGAGTTCATTAGGGACATTCTGCTGAACCCGGAGCGGAACCCAGGCCTGATCAAGTGGGAGGATCGGACAGATGGCGTGTTCCGCTTCCTCAAGTCAGAGGCTGTGGCTCAGCTGTGGGGCAAGAAGAAGAACAATAGCAGCATGACCTACGAGAAGCTCAGCCGAGCTATGAGGTAGAGACTGAAAGGATTAGGGGGAGTTTCATGTTTATTTCCTGGTTCACATGTTAAGAAGGAAGTCATTTTGGCTGTTCCGTTAAGGTCCCTGTTCGTACCATTCCAGATATTACTACAAACGGGAAATCCTGGAACGTGTAGATGGACGAAGGCTGGTCTACAAGTTTGGAAGGAATGCACGAGGATGGAGGGAGTCAGAGAAGTGAAAGAGGACACCTCTCCACCATTTTGTGCCTTTTTTTAACCACCATGTGAAGATGTCTATTTATGTTATTTTTTTGGATTTTAATATGTCACTGTGATGTTTTACTATATATGTTTTTGGGAATTTCTGTATGATATATTTACATATGGTTAAGAAAGACCATATTTTACATTTGACTGCTTACATTTTCCTGTTCAAAGAGTGATGACTATTTGCACTGAAAGCCATTTTTGATTGAACTGCAAAAAGCATTGACATACTGTAGATGCATTATTTTAAATACTTCCAGCTTGTTGTACACATTTAAACTGTGTAATGTTCTATAACGAAGTATGTTTGATTGATGTTATGCAAGACATCTCCTTTAGTAAATATGAAACTCTTGTCTTCTTTGCATTTATCCTCATCAAATTTGATTTAGTTTTGATTAGGTAACAGATCTAACAATAGAACCGCAAGTTCCCTATTCATGTGCAGGATAAACAGAACACAATGGCAGCTCAAGCTATTATGATAGAGCTCATTCAGATGCAACAATGTGACATGTTGAAATTAGATTATGTTCTGTGTGTGTGCTTCAAGATCTGATGCTGAGCAATGTCTTCTCGTTTTGCCATGTCAACTCGTCTTCACCCATTTACTACACTATGCTTTAAAATGAAATGTGTAAATATCATATATGTATTTTAAATAATAAAGGATGTGTGTTTTTGAAACAAGAGACAAAAGCCTGCCTGTGTGTCATTATTTGTGTGAGCTAGATGAACATCACACTGGGCAAAAACTGGTTGAATCAACGTTGTTTCCACGTCATAATTTTAAAAAAATAATGTGATGACAGAGCTTTGTATTTTTTTCACCCACTTGTAACCTAAATCCAATGGCATGGTGATTTTTTGTTGTTGATTTCACATTGGATTTACATTAGTTGACAACTCAACCAAATGTACAAATGTTTTACTGTGAATTGACGTCTGTGCCCAGTGGGATGATTGTCACACACAAATCAGTTAAGAGACTTACAACTTACATTATTGACTGTGATCATGCAAATGTAACATGAACTCGAGTTCAGTTTTACTATTCTCTCTCTCTCTCTCTCTCTCTCTCTCTCTCTCTCTCTCTCTCTCTCTCTCTCTCTCTCTCTAGTTAATTGTTCTCCGGTGCGTGTCATGGCCGTTCTGCTGACACCTTGGGGTGATGGACAGATGGACAGATGACTCACCTCTGATGCCCGCTTAGATAAGAAAAGCGACACTCAATGTCCCCTTTCTCATGCCATGTGTTCGTAGTCAAATCCCTGCCCATGCCTCCACACCTGCTCTGTGCAATTCATGTTTTTTTAATCCTCCTCCTTTACATTACAGTGATTGCTGTTTCATTCTTTTGGTATCTTTGTTGAAGGCCACAAAATGTACCCATCATTGAAAATGTTATCAATGTTCACTCTCTCTGCTTTCACACCCACTGTTGTACTACTTAATATAACTGGAGTTTGTGTTTGACATTGGAGCGAGGACGAGGTCATGGCAGTCTGTATTTTTTAAATGTTATGAAAAGGAAATTAAGTAAAGAGGGAAGCAAATGTCTTAATTTCAACATCAAGGGCCGGAATCAAGGCTAGGATATCAAACTGGCCAAAACTTCAACATTTCTTCTGATATGATCTGGTCCCAGTTGACAGCTGCCCATAATTATTTAAGTTCAAGATATTTTTCATAAAACTTGTTGATAAGTTGAGGACAGACACAAAGTCAGTCGACACAGAACATACATTGCATATTCTACTGAGATATTATGCAGACGGCTGTTAGTGTCAATGTTTGATTGCACTGCCATGAATCAGGACAATGTAAATTAAGTTTAACAATGCAAACCCTTTTATACTAAACCATAACTTGCATCATATAGGTGGAATGTAAACTGAGCTGTTATATGAACATCAAGTAGAGAAAGCACACCTTATTCACCTTGCTCATCCATGAATTCCAGTGTTGCACAATGCATCACTGCATGCATATACTATCATATCCTGATAAGCCATCCTGTATGCATACAGTATCACAACTCCAGTAGATAAAGAGGTGATATTGATGATTTTATCAGTTTAATCAGCAACATTACTGGTCTGTGTGAAAGGCTGAAATCCGGTCTGATTTTAGTGTTGTGTTTGTTGATGTTGCTGCGAGTCTGATACATAGGGAAATGTGTGAATATGGGTCTCAGAGAGATTACTGAGCAGTTAGGCAAATGGTCTAGACTGACATAACCTCTGTTGTGCAAAGAGACAGGAGGCTGATTTCCCTAACCGACTACTGGCCAGTGAATGCAAAGGAGGGGAATAGAGACAAAGTACCCTGTATAGTTACAGAGTATAGGGTTCTGGTAAAAAATAATCTCCTGGTATGCAGATATTTTGCTGAGTACTACATGTGCATATGTGCAAGTAGTATATGTATGCATGCTTCTGTTCAAGCTACGGTCAATTGAAAACCGTGTATGAGGATCCTGAGTAAGACAGTCTAGGACATAATGATAGTTAATCAAATGGATAAAGTTGTGCAGTCAGAGACACATCTAGGTTTTGAGGTGGCAAAGTGAAAGAGGTTTGAGGAAAGTGTTGGTGAACCAGCCAAACAAGGTCTCCCACGCAAGGTTAAACTCTTGGCACATGGGCACCAACCAACGGCGCCTGGCAGACAAACCTGAAAAACCCGAACTGGTTGTAATGCATCCTCAAAAGATGCTTAGACTCACATCAAAAAAGGTGAGCGAGCACATACACACATGCTCATGCCTTTGCATTGTACTGCAGTCACTGGCACTATAGTGATATTTTGTCCTCATGTCTCACTCTGAAAGTGTCTGGTTTCAAACCACCAAAAAAGCACAAAATGACCTAGAAGAAGAACAGACTCAGTTGTCTTAGTCCATGTCACACAGACATGGTGCAGTTGATGGACTAAGCCTAGGTGGAAATAGCTTGTAACAGGTGGTTTTGGCCCAGACTTACTGTCTGAATCCATGTCTGTTTGAGAATCTTGCAATTGTATCCTAATGGGAAAACTGGATTTAACAGATTAAGGATAACGGAGAGAACAATGTACAATGGCTGTATGGCTGGTTTAGTCAGTCTGAGATGTTGTATTGTGCACTTCAAGAGATCAGTTTCACTGTGGAATGGTATGTTGAAACACCTTTGTGTTCAGGATCTGGAACAACAGAGTTTAAAATGGGATGTCAACAAACACATTTTCATTGATGAAATTGTCACAGGAATACTTTGTTTTAAATCAATGTGAATACCTTATAGGAGCCTATGTCTGGTTAGATTGACTGGATACCTTATCCACATTGTTTCATTAGAAGCTGGGAATCTCCCACAATGGTACAGTATGTATAGGCTATAACCCTTGCAATCACTGTTCTCTGGCTCCTCATATCTCTTGTGGCAGTGGAAAGATTATATCCCAATTTGAATGAGCCGAGACATTTTATTATTTAAAAGAGAAGACATTAATGCTATCAGATAGATGGTGGATGAAGAACAAGGAAGTGATGAGTGATAACCACAGGCATAAAGACAAACCCAGCAGGCTCTGTCTCTGTCCCAAACTCTGCTCACTGGAGGTATTGTATTCTCACAGCAGATACCCAATCACAGCTTATCAGAGCCTCTTATCACTCTCAGCCCACACTCACAGGGCCCTTGAAGGCATACGGTCCAAGGCACAAGTCAGACATATTCAGCTGGAGTTATAATGTAGGCAGAACAGCAAGCAGAAACATTTGATCCTAAGTGGACTGTAGATATATCTCACTATCCAAAACACACACTTAGAACAGGTATCATATGACTCCATCTGGAAAGCAGCAATGTGTGTTTGGAAACACTGTTTGTCCTCTACCAGAAGATACACTGTCACTTTTTGTTTTTACCACAGAATCAAGTGAGAGGGTCCTTTGCGTAGCCAGAGGGATAAAATATGTAAACAACTTTTAAACATGCAAGACTATCCACAACACACCATCCAGACAGGAAAAACAAAACAAATAAGTATTTGTATTTTATTATGGATCCCCTGTCACGACTTCCTCCGAAGCTGCCACCTCTCCTTGTTCAGGCAGGCTTCGGCGTTCGTCGTCACCGGCCTTCTAGCCACTGCTGCTCCGCTCCGCATCTCATCATTCCATTTGTTTTGTCTTGTTTATTACACACACCTGGTTCATCTCCCCTCATCAGTACCTGTATAAGTGTTCCCTCTGCACCCTTGTCTTTGTGTGTGATTGTTTATTGTGGAGGATAGTGAAGCTCGGTGGAGCTCTGTGTATTTTGTATCGCCGGGATATTTCCCTGTGTGCCATGTATTTTCCAGTGCGCCTGTTTTGCGCACTAGAGTGTTTTGACACATTTCTGCGTAACTCTGTAATTGCGGAATAAAGCCTGTTATTCTGTGATTTACCCTCCTGCTCCTGACTCCTTCGACATCACCTCATCACATCCCCATTAGCTGCCACCAAGGTAGCAGCTACTCTTCCTGGGGTCCCAGCAATATAAAGGCAATTTACATACAGTTAAAACATTACACTTCACAACACATTATTACACGCTACTACAACATATCTACAATACAAAATCCATATGTACGTGTGTGTAGAGTGCGTGTGTTAGCATGTGTGTGTATGCGTGTGTCTGTGCCTGTGAGTGTGTGTATCTCTTCACAGTCCACGCTGTTCCATAAGGCATAGTTATATTATTATTATTTTTAAATCTGATTTTACTGCTTGCATGAGTTACTTGATGTGGAATAGAGTTCTATGTAGTCACGGCTCTATGTAGTACTGTGCATTTCCCATAGTCTGTTCTGCCCTTGGGGACTGTGAAGAGACCTCTGTTGACATGTCTTGTGGGGTATGCATGGGTGTCTGAGCTGTGTGCCAGTAGTTCAAACAGACAGCTCGGTGCATACAACATGTCAATACTCCTCACAAATACAA